GGGCCGTCTGTGTGCTGTGATCAACACCCTTCTCGGGGGTTCCAGCCAGGGCACAGAGGGGGTTACCAGGCGTGGGACATGACCTAGGCTCTCTGCAGCCTGTGGGACAAGGCTGAGGAGTGAGCAAGAGTGCCTGGGAGTGAGGTAAATTCCATGTGGCACAGCCCACCTGTCAGACCAGAGCTGGCCACCAAGGCCCTGGGGGTCCTGGGTATGCCCCTCACTCCAGGCTCTGCAGGGAGGAGCAACTCCTGGACTCCAATTTGGGCAAGGCAGTCCATCCGGGCCTTGGTAAAGGCACCACCTTGTCAGGTTCCCAAGCCACAGCCTCATTTCAGTCACCCAAGGGGGCTCCCTCATGACTCACCCATCTTCCCATCCTCCACAAAGAGAATGTGCAGTGGGTATAAGGTGCTGAAGTAGAAGACATCTATGTTGTTCTTCATGGCCACCTAGGCACAAGGGGGTTCCCAGTCAGTCCCTGGGGCTTGATACCACCTCTGAGGTCCCAGGAAGGGCGTTGCTGAGCAGATTCTCTCCCAGGCCACTCCCTGGTAAACATACCCCTCGTCCCCTGACCTGGGCCTCCCCAACACATCTGCAGCTAAGAGCTTGACTTCACAGACACAGCCCTCTGCTGACCCCGGTGGGGCCCGGCTGGTGGATGGGTAAGGACTGGGGTGCCCGCCCTGCCCGGAACGCACCTGCAGGTTGTTCAGAGGCTCCATCTTCATGACTGAGCCCACCATGCTGACAGGCAGGGAGATCTCCACTGTCTGGTTGGGGCTGAGTGGCGTGTGAACCTGGAAGGAGGCGGTGGGGGCCAGGCCAAAGCTGGGGAGAGAGGAGCCCTGCAAGGATGGCAGGGGGAGCAGGTGCTGATGCAGGGCAGGTAAGCTCCTCGGGCTTAGGAGCTGGGCTGTGGTCAGCAGGGAGCCTCTCACCCTGCCAGCCTGCCCACACTCCAGGCCATGGACAGAAGGATGGGCTCCCAGTCCTCCTCCTCTAGCTGGCCATGTGGACAGGAAGAAAGAACTCTAGGCCAGCTGCTCTGCCCCAGCCTGGCCGCAGGCCTGAAGCCCAGCTGTGTTCCTCTCCTCTGGGCCAGACACTGGTGGGCCCAGGTAAGCAGGCCTTGCCCTGTCCTGCCCTCAAAGAGCTCTGTCTAATGCCAGGGGCCTGGAGGGTAAGCTGCTTCTACCTTGAAAGCTCTGAGACCACCCAAGTCTCTGCTGCCAATCCCCAACTCCCAGGAGGGATCTGAACATCCCAGGAAAGATGCTAGATTTTACCCTCTTGGCCAAAACTGGCCAGGGTCACACAGTGGCCACAGAGAGATTCAGGAAAGCCCTGCTTCTCTGCAAACCAGCAAAATGGCAAATTAGGAAGATCCTCATGGGTGTGAGACATGCCAGCCCCAGGCTCTTGGAAGTTCGTGCCCCCAGGGCATGGGAATGGGGGCACGAACGGAGTGCTCAGTATACCTGGCTGTGCATTCGATATTATAACTCCTAGCCTCATAAAAGTAACCAGGTACACTTCTTCCTATATCTAGATGCGGACACCGTCTCAGGGAGGAGCAGGCTTGGGTCAGACCCCATAGAGTGATTGGCACTGCTGAGAATCAGGGTTTGAGCTGCCTGACCCCAGCCTGTGCTCTGCCCAAGAGCCATCAGGCCTGGCTGGGACACAGAGGGAGACCACTTGGGGAACCTCATGCCTGCCTGGCGGCTCAGCACACCAGGCTTTCCTGGGAGCTCCACTACTGCCAGCTATGTGAGCAGCTAAGGAGCCCAGGTGTCATTACCTACTAAAAAAGGGTGATGGCAGTGACTTTGCTGGGCCATCAGGTGGCTCAAGTGAGGCAATACTGGGCCTGGTGCCCAGGAGGCATTCAGCACACAGTAAGCTTGCTAGAGGCAACCAGTGGGACCACCTCTCAGAGCCTGGAGCACTTCTGCGGCTTCCAGGGTCACGTGAAGGTGAATGGCAGAGCCATCCCCAGCCCTAGCCTGCCCGAGTCAGGACCTACTGGCCCCCAGGCTCTCCTGGGGAAACAGCCCCTTCAGTCAACTTCTTAGAGGCTCAGTTTGCTCATCATGAGCATGCTCAGGAAGAAGAATCATCAGGAGGGGCTGCCAGGGGTCCCCAGGAAGCCCTAGCCTCAGTGGCTGGGTCCATGACAGTGCCAGACAGGCAACTTTCCCACTGACACCGAGTGTAGGGGACCCAGTGGGAAGGAGGCTGGAGCATCTACTGCTCCCAGAGGCTCCATCTGACACTTTTAATCCTCTGCCATGCAGGGGGAGGCTGGCAGGCAGGCCCACTCCCTACCAGCCTTCTGAGAGCTGGTCCCTAAGACAGGCCCCACCCCCCGCTATGTGGGGTATTTGCCAGAGGTAGGCTCCTCAGCTGAAGCAGGACGTTCCTCAAGGGTTCAAGACCAACCTGGGCAATACCCTGAGCTTCCATCTAAAAAAAAATTAAAACTAAAAGGAGGGATGCCCTTCCCCACTCTGCCTGGTACTTTGGAGTCCATATGAAGAGGCCACTTGGGGGTAAAAATCCCACTGCTTGGCTGGGTGCAGTGGTTCAAGCCTGTAATCCCAGCACTTCGGGAGGCCGAGGTGGGTGGATTGTCTGAGCTCAGGAGTTCGAGGCCAGCCTGGGCGACATGGAGAAACCCCATCTCTACTAAATACACAAAAATTAGTCAGGCATGGTGGTGTGCGCCTGTAGTCCCAGCTACTCAGGAGGCTGTGGCAGAAGAATTGCTTGAACCTGGGAGGTGGAGGTTGCAGTAAGCTGAGATCGCACCACTGCACTCCAGCCTGAGTGACAGAGCAAGACTGTCTCCAAAACAACAACAAAACCCATTGCTTTAGAGAGTTCTGGCCCAAGGGATGGTGGGGAACATCCTCCAGAAAAGGGACACCACCCTCCCCCTGCTCCACCCCTGCCTGCAGTCCCCAGAACAGACTCCAAGTGGATTCTCTCCTAGGCCTCCCCTTGAGAGGTGTGCTGGCCTCAGGGAGCTCACCTGTTGCGGTTGAACTGGATGGCAAAGTCAGTCATGACCTGCAAGGCCTTGTTGGTCAGCTGCAGGTCCATGGAGATGGAGGCCACCTGGCGGGTGAAGGTGCCTGAGATCTCTAGCCCCTTGGCCTTCATGGCTGGGAGCCAGACCTGCAGGGAAGAGGGGGTGGAAGGGGCAGGTGGGTGCCTTTTCCCCCAGCCCAAACTCAACAGCCCACCTGAGAGTGCTTTTTCTCTTTCCTGCAGGCATCTCCCATATCCAGCACCCCCACCTTTACTGCTAGGGGATGACCAGGTGCATATCAGGAAGAGAATAATCCCATGTCCCACCGAGGACACCGCCATGACACAGCTGCCTCTCAGAGCAGCTTGGAGTGGGGAGGCGCTTGGGCGCTCAAGGGCTGACATGAATCCTCAGAGGGGAATGGAGGGACCTCTTGGGAAGGACGGCTGAGGAAGGCCATGAGCCAAGGACAGAACTCAGTGCCCAGTGGCATCCTGGGGCTCAGCCACAGCCTGGGCCTTGCTGGCCATCACCACCTGTCCTCTCTTGCAGGAGGTAGGGCTGGCCTTCGGTTGTAGAAACTGGTCTGACCAAGGACAGTACCTAGGAGGACCTGTCGCCTGGCTGGCCTTCCGCTGCTTGGCTGTCCTTGTCATTTGAGTCTCAGCTCAAGAACCACCTCCTCCTGGAAGCCTGCCCCCAGGCTCCCTCGACCCAGTGATGTTACAGCAGACACATACGAATTGTGTCTGTCTCCCCTGTACCCAGATAGCTCGCTGAGGGAAAGGCCCTATTTTTCTGTCTTTACCTCCTTGGCTCAGAGACTGGTGTGAAACCAGTGTTTGGGGAGTGTTTGCTGAGCAAACAGCGTAAGTTACAGCCCTGCCTGGGGAGGACATCCGCCAGCAGCATCTTGGGGACTCACAAACACTTCTCAGGCGGTTACTCTCCTACAGGCCCTTTGGGGTCAAAAGGCTCAAACCCCACCGACAGCTTCCGCAAGCGCATCCAGTGCCAATGAAGGTTCCCACTGTCTCTCAGGTTGCCAGTTTCAGAAACTGCAGAAACATTAGGCACCAGCCCCCGCCCCACTGTAACCCCCTTTAGGCAGTCACGCAACCCGTCTCGTTGAGGTCACCTCCTATATCTGCCTCCAGGGCCTCCACTCCTCTCCATCTCCAGAGGCACCACCAGCATTTGAGCTGCCACCAGATGTCCCCAGGTAAGACAGCGGCTACCAGGTGGTGCCCCATTTCCACTCTCTCCCCCTTTCGACAGCCGCTGAAGTCATTTTGTGAAATGCAAATCTGATCATGGCACCCTGAGAAACCCCTTCCAACCCTGCAGTGGCCTCCACAGCCTGGTGCCCATCTGCTCCTCAGGCTTGGCTTGCTCCCGCCCCTGGACCTCACACCCGTTGCTCTCTCTGCTTTCAAAGCGCTTTCCCACCCCCATCCTGCTTGGTTAACCCTGAGCACCCTCTGTGCCCCCTGGCCAGATCTGTGAGGACAGAAAGCAGCCTGCTTTGGCTGTCAGCTGTGCCATGGCAGCCGAGAGCACTGCGAGGCTGGCTGAACCTGAGCTGGGGCATGGCTCCCTCATGGACGCCTCCCCTGGGCCCCCATCGGGCCTCCTTTCCCCTGACCCTCTCTCAGTCGTCCGTGGCTGGGGATGGGGACCGCACTGCTCTTGGTCACTGTGGGTTCATGGTGTCTCACACAGGTCCTAACAATATACTGAGGTAACAATCTTCAGTCTTTACTCGGTGAACCAATGAACTGTCACCTCCAGCTGACCCAAATGCTTGAGGAGCCCAAAAGTTCTGATGCACAGCCAGCCTCACTGCCTTAGACCAGCAGGGTTGGCCAGTGGCTTTAACCCCACAGGCGGGGTGTGGAAATGCTTGAGGAATGAACAATTCCAGGTGGCCACAGGGCTGTTGGGAAGATGTGGATACCTACTGACAGATTCTGAAGGGAGAGTGCACGCACACCCTAGAACCCTCCCATGACCAAGGCAGTGGGGAAAGTCCTGCCCATGTCATAAGGACGACTCCTCCAGGCAGCCTGCCCTGAGGATCACCTTTCCAGCATGCTCTCATCAGATACACTCATCTTACCCTTTACAAAGACAAAGCAGAGATAACACTGTTAAGACGAACACACCTGTAATCCCAGCGCTTTGGAAGGCCAAGGCATGTGGATCACCTGAGGTCAGGAGTTCAAGACCAGCCAGGCCAAGATGGTGAAACTCCATCTCTACTAAAAATGTAAAATAGCTGGGCATGGTGGCAGGTGCCTGTAATCCTAGCTACTTCAGGACACTGAGGCAGGAGAATCACTTGAACGTGGGAGGCAAAGATTGCATGCACTGAGATCATGCCACTGCACTCCAGCCTGGGTAACGAGCAAAACTGTCTCAAAAAAAAGAAAAGATGATGAACACACAAGTCCAGCGCCAGCTTGCCAAAGGCCAGCTCCAGACTGTGTGTTCCGGGCAGCTCTGCAGTGCCGGCAAGGGCTGGCTCCCACAGGGTTACAGGAGACTTTGCCGTACTTCTGTCCCTTAGTCCTGCTTTGTATGCCTGCGATATCAGGCTTCTGGTGAGTACGGGTTGGCCTCATGCCTTGGCACAGCCAATCCAGGTAGTAAGTCAACTGCACATGCTGTATGTGATACCACGATCCTACGCTCCCTTGGCCCTGCTGGCCCTGACGCCCCACACATGAAGGCAGGGGCATAGGTGGTTCTCACACTCTGTGGGGTCACCATCATGTAGGGGTCTGGAGCAGAGGCTTTAGTGTCACCTGCTTTCACTTCCAGACTGTCACCAGCTATGTGACCTTAGGCAAAGGCATTCAGATTTCTCAACCACAAAATGGGAGGAAGAGCCACAAGGGACTGCCAGAAGGCACACGTGCTGGCGGTGGCTGTGGAATGCTGTGCTGTCCCTGCACAGAAGTGCGTGACTGCTAGTGTCAGAGCTGCTGTCTGCTGTGGGCATCTCAGTGCCCAGACCCTGCCAGGGGGCTCCAGTCACCACCACTGCAGGTGCAGCTGGCACATGGTGGGGAAAGCCAGCTCAGCAAGGAAAGGGGGACACGTCTTCCCTCTGGCAGCTTCCTTGACACTGACATGGCCCTCACTGAGCTTTCCTCCATGCCTGGCCCGCATGTTCTCACATTGGAAACTCAGCTCTCCTTCCCTCAGCCCCGGCTCCTCCTTCCCAAGGAGCTCTGAAGTCTGTCTGTTTCCACCCACAGGACGTCCTCGTTGTCCAGCTGCAGCAGCACTCCTCCTCCCTGCCACAGAACCCCCGCCTCGGTGCTTCTGCCCCACCCCTCCCTGCAGATGCAGCCAGCTTTCTCAAGTGCAAATTGGACTTGAGAATTGGACTTCATCCCTCTGCTCAGAATTTTCCAATGGCTCCAGCTATGCCAGGATCAAGAGCAAACACTCAGCCTAGCCTTGCCAGCTTCCTCCTCACTGATGCCCAGTCTAGCTAGGAGTCTCGGGGTTGTGTCCTAGGGGGCACAGTGGGCATTTGTGGGCATCTTCAGATGGCACAACGTGTAGTGGGCCGCAGACAGGGATGCTGGACATTCCGCCACGAGACAACCACCCCACAGCAAGCAACCGTCCTGCGTCCTTCAGTATTTTCTGCATGGTTTCAACATACCCGGAGACTTCCAGGAACACAGTTCTCAGGAAAATCGAGGGAAGCCTGTTCCTTGTCTTACTTAGAACCTTTCTGGAGGGCAGCAACCACTTCAGCAACGAATGGCACCACTGGCCAAAACACTCAAGGGGTCTAGGCTACAAACACCCAGGCTGTGGCTGTCACAGTCACAGTGACTTTGCCCTGCAGCAAACACCTGGCAACTTCATGTCTTCTGGGGTGAGTGGGAGGGCATGCCCAGGCATTTATAAACTGATACATATACTTGTATTCTCTTCCTTTTATGTCTCCTCCATGCAGTGAAAGCATCTGAGTATTTTTGGAATGCTATGTGTAGGTAGGTTACACATCCCACCAATTGCATTTAAGGAGAGGAACAGTGACAATGTAAAATGTCTATGATGACTAAGGGGTGCTGGGTCTGATGGCACCAAGAACTACTGCTCCTAGCTGACAGGCCTCTGCTATTCCCTGGCAGAGGCCAGGGTCTCCCTTTCCTCCAGGTCTTCCTACAGGCTGTTTCCTTGGCCTGGAGCCCCCTACCTACTTTCATTCAGCCAATAAGTTTCTGCAACCCCTCTTCTGGGAAGCCTTCCTAGGCCCCCACCAAGCCTGACTTAGCTACTCTTTGTCGGTGTCCCCATGGCCCCCGGCTTCCCTCATCAGCACTGGCCTGAGCCAATTCCACGGCCGAGGCCATTTAAAGGAGCCCACATGCCAGTCTAACTTCTCTCTGCTCCTGCCAAGAAAGAAGGCAGGTGACTTACTGCTTTGGGGGCCACATACGATCCTGACAGGGTGCCCACGCCACTGGTTAGGTCAAAGAGGTCACTCAGGCCACTGCCGATGGGTGCTCCAAGGTTGGCTGGTGCTGCTGCTGTTGTAGGTGCCACGAAGTTGGTGCCCCCAATCTGGAAAGGGAAGAAATGAGTCAGAGGCAGCATCAGGGGCAGGGACATCGGGCTGGGAATGAGTAGAGCCACCTGGCTCTTTAGAATACACTGGGGGCTGGGGGCAGGGCAGCCTCCACATCAAGTGTAAGTTACAGAAATCAGACAGAGAGAGGTGGGTGGAGAAGAGAGGCTGAGCCCTCCCATGCCCTGCAAGCCTTGAGCCTTAGGAGTAACCTCTGGGAAAGGGCTGGGGACACTCCCAAATTGACACTCAGCCCATGGATAAAAGGAGGTCCCGAGACACACAGCTGGGTGGAGACATGCTATGCAGACGGGAGCTCTCCCTTCAGGACATCAGAGAGGGTTTGTGGGACTGAGGGCTGGCAATCCCGGGGATGACAAGGCAATGTGTCATGAGTGGTGAGGACTGGGCAAGAATCCATGGCTATAGGGCCCAGTAGCAGCTGGATGCCAGTAGGTCAGGGCAGAGGCTGCCAGGATGCTGGACCAAGGCAGTGGCTCAGCAGGCAGGGCCGCTTTGACATCACCCGCCCCTTGGGATGCTGGGCCGGTGCTTTCGGGAGGAGCAAGGACGAAGGCTTGGTGACGCAAGGGTTGAACCGTACCCCTTCAGGCTCATCCCCCATCTCCAAGCGGAAGCAGGCAGGTAAAGAGAACAGGCAGCCACATGCAGAGAGAAAAGCCAGGAAGGAAGACAGAGACGAGAGAAGGGAAAGAGGGAAGAGATGAGTCAACTGTAGCTCCATCCGAGAGGAGTGTGGCGTGAGGCTGTGCCGGGGCCTACGAGAGGCCCAGACCTGTCTCTATGAAAGGCATCACCCCCACGCCTTCACCCAACACCCTCCCGTCCTGCACCACAGCCCCTCCTGCCTCACCCTAGCGGCACTGAACACCAGGCTCCTGCCCCTGTGCTGCCCCTGTGGGGACCTGAGCCGAGCACAGCCAAATGAAGAGGCTTAGCCACCCCAAGTTGCCTGAGGACACCCCAGGGAGATACCCAGGTCAGTCTCACCACAACCCCTACCCTTCCCGTGTTACCATTCCCCTCTCTCCTTGACCACCCATGCTCTCTCAAGCCTGGCTGGGCTGCTATTCCCAGCTGGGGCAGCATGAGCGTAAGTGGACACATGCCTGATTCCTGAAAGCCAGGAACACCCTTGCCTTACAGGGCAAGGTGACTGACGCCAGGATCAGGGCAAGGGCTAGGATTGGCTCCTGGGACTCCAGGGTCTAACAAGGGAGTGGAATTCTGTCTGCCACTCGGGCTGTGTCACCTCGGAGGGAAGGCTGCCTGGCCTCTCTCAGCCTTGGCCTTCTCATCATAAGTAGGGAGCTCACAATCGCCTCCGAGGGCAGATGGTAAGGACTCAATAGAATGTATCCGAGGCACCTGGCTTGTGCCTGGCCTGGACGCACGTTCGGTGACTGCGCCTCTGAAGACCATTATCAACATCATCCAGAGGGCCCACAACATACCAGGCTGTCAAGGCCACCGCCAAGAAGGTCCACAGCTCCCATCTGCACCGAGGAGGTGGCCAGGGGTGGGCCGCTAACTGGGGGGCCGAGGTCCAGGTTAAGGAGGTCACCCAGCAGGTCGCCCTGGGCGGGGATGACATCTGGCTGCTCCCCGGGAGGTGCTCCAGCAGGGGCTGTCTCAGGGCTCTCTGTGCTCTCATTCCTGCCAGGACACAGAAGGGAGAGGAGGTCAGTAGAGCAGAAGCATGAGGATGTCTCAGGAAGGTCAAAGAGACCCCAGCCTCCAGGCACCTCCCCCAGCACGGGCACTGGGTCTTTTCACTGTCCCCAACAGGGCTGTCCGCAGGGACCCCCTGCCTTCCCATTCCCACAGCAGAACCATATTTTAGGTCCTCCACGAGGATGAGTGAAGGGAGAGGGCCGCCTGCTTCTACCCCTCAGCCCATGCTAAGGAGAAAACGATGCCACCGCCCTAGGACAGTGCCGCCAGCTCACACCAACCACCTGGGAGCAGTAGAGGAGGAGGTGCAGACAGGGCGCTGGAATGAGACGGAGCTGGTCTGAGTCCCAGCTCTGCTGGCTGTGGGGTCCTGGACCCGTCACTCAAGCTCTCCTTGTCTATTGTTCCCATCTGACGAATGGGGACATTTGCTCTCAGAGCTGTCGTTAGGATGGAATGAGGTCATCTAGCAAATACCTCGTGTACAATAAACATCTGCTAAAAGGTGGTCAGTTTTCCTCAGACCCAGGTCTTGCCGGGGGACAGCACGCCAGGCCCGCGCACCTGTGCTGCTGAACCGGGGAAGCAGGTGGGAGGCTCAGGCCCACGACTGGCCACT